TGAGAAAATAAGACAGATGTCCCCACGATCATTTGGTCCTTAAATGCTGTGAGAGTAGTAAATTTTGGTATCGGTATTGTTGTTTAAAGATAAACTTGGAGTAACAAACGTTGCTGATGAAAACTCAAAGAAAACATTCAAGTGATGTTGGGGCGATTTCGTTATACAGTAAACACATCCTAACAGTCTCTGATAAATCCTGATACTTAGTTATTTCAAATCAATGTACAACGTAGAAAACTAATTACCGAACCTTGAATCAGAAGAAAATCTGTTGCCATTGTTTCCCCACTCGAGGTTTCTGAAAGACAGCAACAATAGTCACGTTTACCTGTTTATTCACTAAGGAATGAAAACATCACCCCAAAAGACGTCATTTACGCGATGGCTAAATTCTTTCAAGCCACAAAGCTTGTATCATGGTTGGATATCTACAAATAGAGACCACTTTTTATATTTCAAAAGTGATTCAAAAAAATGGTCGAGCCAAAAACAGTTAGTCATTCAAAGGTTATTCGAATTTGTAACGCATATGAATTGTCTAACTGTCGACCCGAGCCAATCCAGTGATGAAGACTTTTTAAGTCGTGGGTATGAATGAAAACACTGAGTGTATACATCAGGTAACAGTACCCATATTCTGGATCCTCAGAGTAATCACTTAACCCCCTTATCACTTACAATTTATAGGCCTTCACTAAATTGCCCCTCAAGACAAATACCCTGTCTGACTAAATAATTTTGTTGGTCCCATCGCATGTTTTGAAGCATAATAACTTTACTCTACGCGCTCCCATACTGGGTTTTACGTTGTATGGTAGATAATATTTCAGATACTCATAAACTTGTTATCGTTTTTGAGACTTCTGGGTTTGGCGAAATCGTACTCTAATACATCAACTGCGTTTAGTCACCTGTAAAGAACAGACTTTGTGATTAAGACGTTTTTAAGAGATTAAGGCATTCACATCTGCCTGTTTATTCTAAGATTTCAGAGAATAGGGATCATTCTTACTAATATATACACGAGAAACTGACTATACTTGCGTATAGTCATATAATTCCGATGGATAAGAATGGTGAAACAGCAGCTCCCGACACTAATGCAGTTGGTTCAATGTGCGACAACCGAAATGAGTACGAATCATAATCAAGAACAAGTTGTTACATGTTATCTACATAATAACATTTTGCGTAAATATACCCTTATTTCATCCTGAACCAAGACACTAAAAAACTAAGCCGTATTTGCTTACGACTTTATCCGAACCCCCTGTTAAACATTGATAATTATGTGATTATAACACTACACGCTCTATTTTCATAATTTGCTTTATCTGATTCCGACTACCTTAATCTTCTGGTAAAGATCAGTTTCTTTTGCACAGGATGAGACAACTGCTATTGATGAGGAAGAATTAGACACAAAACGAGTGGAAGAAATTACACGTTCAACACAAGAACAATTTTTTGAAACCATTGAACGAAAACTCAAAGAACGTGAGCTAAGAGAAAAGCTTGCTATGGAATCTGCACAAACTGCAAGCAATAAACAGGTAGATCTAGCTAACTTCTTTTGAAAAGCACTCAGTCGGGCGCTTCTTAATTTTATTATTTATCAGTATTTGAAAAGACTGAATTTCACTATTTGGACCGACCCCCTACGGGTCACTACTTAAAGTACTCATTATTCTAGTTAAATGCGAATATAAACACTCTGCTTAGCAGATGTCAGTGTTTTCCATGGTAACCGAATTCGTGCCCTTCTCTTTGAACATGAGCGAAGATTATCTCGATGATGTTTTGAGGTCTTATCACCTACTATATATATATATATATATATACTGAGTTTTCTTCTGATGAACCTTACATTTTATGAGACTGGATATTCGATAATAAGAATGAACCATCTTTGAAAGGCATTATTTTCCCCTAAATCGTTTTAAACAAGATAAGCCACAGAATGATAGTTACTGATAATATTGTAGTTTTCTCAATACTATTAACATGGAACTTGCTGAGACTGGATCTTGTACAAAATTTATTTTGTGCTTGATTCTCAGGAGTAGGAGTGAATCAGTAAGACAAATCGCTTTCTTATTTGGCAAGATTTGCTAAAGTAGGGAACAACAATAATGTTCGATCATGAACCTTTTAAACTTCTGGACCACCGAAGAAATCAAACTACGATGATTAAAATATCGAATACTAACAGAACTATATAAATCCATGTCTAAATTACATAGTGGACCGAACTGTGAAAGTGGGAGTGTGATATTGAGTTTTCCAAGTAAATCTTTCTTCTATAGAACATAATTTCCAAACCTCGGTCATAATTTTGGATAAACTTCACTAATCAATAAAATAACCATGATTATATGTCCCTAAGTCAATATCTCAAAACTACACTTATGTCTCTTAGCCTCCTTATCAGTATTTTCGCGTAACAATCTTTTTTAGTTAAAGAATGAAATAGTACTTGATGAGGAAGAAGAACGTCCTGTATCAAGCGACGATGAGCAAGATGTTGTTGAAAGGGAAGGAGAACAAGTTTTGCCAACTGAAGCAGACGAACCTAGTGAAGCTGTTCAGTCTTAATCTAGAATTCAAGATAGCTCACATCATGTTCTGAGTTTATCGATGATGATAAGCGGACCTGGATGTCTGCTGATGTTATGTTATATCGAATTTTTTCTCGGAATATTAAAATATAATAAAGTTTTTGGTGCAGTCGTTAATACTTTTACATATCCCAGCACGAAAACAAAAGTTACAACTAATTCGGCATTAAGACAGTCCTGAAATGTGTTTTCTTTGTAGATCATTATATTCAGTTTAAACTAACTTTACGTACTTGCGCTGGTATCGAAAGTACAGGAAAGTTAAAACATATCAAGTATCAAGATTTACTGGTTAATAAGTGGACAGAAAACAACGACGAATAATACAATTGAAATTACAAGCCGGGATTCCTTCCTAACTACAACATCTGATTTGTATTGTGCGCTTCATTGCAAATTCCAGTACTAGCTTTCAAAACGAAATATGAGTTGATACATTACTGACAAAAGTACTTACTTGGATTGCAGAGTTAATCTTACTGAAATACTGGATATTATATCTGAAACTAACAAGCCACTCATCTTAATCGAGTCTCAATCAGTTCAGAGACAAATGAATGGTAAAATAGTAAATAACAATAGCGGCAACCTCATATATGAGGTTCTTAAGAACGCGTTATATCAATAAAGGTACGCTTTCTCTTAATTATTGATGGAGCTGTGTCAAGCACTTTTAGAGAATATTGGTTTTAAAAATAGGTCCCTTCAATTACAACAAACAAGATGATTTGTTTATACATAAAATTTGATCCTACACACTTGAAAAACAAACGAATGGCCTGATCCAGTCATTCAGAAAATGATAATCACAGTGAGAAATAAATGAACTGATCGAATCTACTCCAAGAACTAGGAATGTCCTTTCATTTATTTGTTTTTAAGTGAACCAAGTAGTGGAAAAATAAACAAGCCATCTTTAATATTGTTACAAACATATACACGAACCAAGTTGAAATGAACTAAACATGAAAGGAGAGGAAGTGAACATATAAAAGAACAGGTCAATAAAAACATCATAGCAACCTTCCAAAAAGTAGAGGAAGGAGGGTTAGAGATCGGAAACAAGTTATACAGTCAGTTCGTTACCATAACGAGCAAGAATATGCAAATAAATTCTGTGGTCTATTTTTTCTGAAAGAATAGGAATGTAAAAAATTCTTAGAAATTGGCGAAGGAAGGTTAAACTCTGACCAAGCAAATTATCGTCAGGATTGTAATTATTAGGCTCAATAGTAGTTCGGTTAACAAGAGAAAACCAAGTCTTTTGGTCCGCTACATACCATTTTTCACGTACACCAGGAGGAGAATCCCGATCCAAAATATAAGTACATTCGTTAGACTCGTTCGTGATAAATCTATCAATCTCTTCTACATTCTCGGAGTTGAAATGACTCCCGTCAATCCTTGTAGAGCTTGACACTACACCATTTGATAAAGGTTTTGCGAACTGACCTGGCAACTGACCAGAAAATGCTGATTGGACAAATCCAATGCGCCAATTCTCAGCGCCTCCCGGGAGAAGGAACCTACTTGGGAAATAATGCCATTCACGCCCTATACATAACAAAGGTTTGTTAGACTGAAATGACGGAACGGGAATGTGTTTGACTAGAAAGATTGGAGAACTATACCAACGTATAAGAGTGAATATGCGAGAGACGGTCAGTAAAAATGTAAATGAACATGAAACAAGCACAATGAACAAAGCTATGTGTCTAATGTATGTAGGCTTAGTATTGGAATTAAAAGTTTCGATAAGCCCTAACATGAAAACTGCCGACGCAACTGAAATAAAAGGGTAGCATGGGAACAGGAATCTTTCTTCCTTATGAGACTGAAGAAAAAATATGCCATTCCAAATTACCAAAGAACTGCATACAATCAAGCGAATATCAGGTAATGATGTATTCGTATCAGAATGCCCACTTACAGAGACAATTTTTATTTGAAACAAAGGACGTAAGATGTATTTTACCGCAGAGATTAGTAGTAACAGCAGGGCGAAAATACACAGCAAGTTTTGATTTAAAATGTAATTTTTAATGTAGAATGATATGGGCTCCGTCCCATACAATTGCGAAGCACTTCCAGACTGTTGTTTGATTTGGGGGAATAAATTGTAGCGGATTATATTAAAAGGTGCTAAGATGAAACGACCAAAGTAGAAGGAATCAACAAGGACGAGAGGGGGGACAAGAAGGAACGTCCACAAGATTATCAACTTAACCAAACGATACATTTTCCCGCTAAACATCATATATACTGCCAAAGGAATGCCAAGGACGGCGGCAAAGGGCCAAACAATAAGACCCGTAAAAGCAACGCATCCAACAGCCAAGAAGTAACAACGCTTTAACCAAAATACCAACATCAGAGCGGTTAAAGAAGCGGATGGTCCACTAGGGAGAAACGTTGTTGACGATAGGAAGTTTCCTGGGGATATACAACAACAAAATGATAGCAGAAAAGAGAATAATACCTTTCTTTTGGTTAAGTCTAGCTCGCCCATTTGCTTTTGATTATTCGAATAGATGTAAGTAGCTACCGTGGAAGAAAGTAAACTAGCAGAAACAGCAGAAACTAGTCCTAGAAAAAAACGAACTAACAAAAATGCAAGCCAATTTGGAAACCCCATAAAGAATGATAAATAAGAAGGCCAACCGAAGAACCATAGGTACAAATAAGATCTAAGGCCAAAAGAAGGTGAATATTCCCATGTCTGGAAGCCACCACCTTCACCGTTTGTTGAAATGAAATGTAAAGGCTCCCAATAGTTATATGTTTCATCGCAATCATTGATGACATTGAAGAGAACGCTAAATGAGTTAGCGGCAAGAGCGATCTTGAATGGTAGAAAGAGGTGCTTCATTGTCTGCTAAGAACAGGGAAATAGCAATTAAAGACTTGATTAACTTAGCGCAAAGAAAGTAATGACTTAGTATACCAGAAAACACTAGAGAACATCATTTAGCAAACAATTCTAAAAAACGCATGAATTTAAATGTTTTTTTGCATTAAGAATAGTTTTGATTACCTGTAATTCCCAAAACATACATCACTATTGATATTTTTGAGAAACTCGTGTAAGATAATGAGGAATAGAGTTCTGGCCACGTACTAATATAAGAAACAACAAGTTTGTTGGATAACCAAGGTGACAAATAAAACCCGATATCTAAGTAGTCATGTCACTTGATATGTAAATACATCGCCACCGAAATACACTAATGGATTCATCTGCAATCGGTCTAGAAAACGAAGTATTAGGTTGTAACATACACCTCTCTAATACCTAATCACGGTATCTATTTGCACAAACCTCACTAAAAAGTGGGAATTAAAAAGTCAAACTCTAAACACTCGACCATAGCTTTAAAACGTAGAACGAAAATAAACAGATTTGACTGCTTGATGATTAACTGGTGAATTTAATCAACCGTAAGATACAAAATAAAAAGCCTTTGCCTTCAACACAATTTAAATTAAGAGTATGTAGGTGTCATTAACAAGGTTTGATTTGATAATTTTGAATAAATTGAGCATTGGGTTGATTGTTATAAATAAAAATATATATTTGTAATGTCCCAATGAGTAGAAAATTGGATTTTCTACTCATTGGGACATTACAAATATATATTTTTATTTATAAATTAAGAGTAGTTGACATTCAGTCAGTCAGCTACAACGTAGGACCAGGCACATATATGAATCGGTCCAAGTTGCCATACAGCATTAGCACAGCAAGATAAACACCGGATTCATAGGAGTGGTTAAGTCAATGGTGGTAATATATAGAAGAAAGATTGCAATAAGAATATAGTACAGGAAGAAAGAAATAGTTCGTAAGAAGAAACATATGAAGCAATTTTAATCTCTTAGTATAAGGGAAGACAGGGAGTTTATACACCTACGCCATTGTGGTCGGTTCTGAGCCATGTCACCGAGTCCTCAACCATTGGTCACGATAGTCACGCGGACCCCAACCAAGTAAACTGCTTCTACCAACATGGCAGAGACTAGAAGTTGGTGTCTTCAAGCACTGATGCCACGTTTTGGTTTGGCCAACCCTACCTTTCTTCCAATCATCCCTAACACCGGTTAGCATTGCACGTTGTGATAATCGGTGTTCAAACATGCGCAACACGTGGCCCAAACACTTCAGTCGATGAAGAATTACAAACACCAACTGATTTACCAATCATTACCGAACCTCATTATTACTTATCTGACGGCCACAAAAGATACGGGCAATATTTCTAAGGCATCTGTGGTCAAATACTAGAAGCTTACGAGTATCTTCTACTCTTAATGGCCACGTTTCGCAGCCGTAAAGTAGAACAGAACGAACTGCCGCGCAGTATACTTGTCCATTAATTGATAGACGGCTATTTCGCCTTCACCATAGGTGACGTAGGTTGGCAAAAGCCAGACGAGCTTTTCGAATCCGTGCTGAGATTTCGCCAGACACCAACCCACTACGGCTGATCAGACTTCCAAGATAAGTGAAGTTGTTGACACCTCCGACTACTTCACCCTCTATCCTTAGTTCAGATGTTGACGCAGGCAAGTTCGGAAGCAATAACGTGCATTTAGAGGGGATAAGCGCATCCCAAACATCCTGGCATTGTTGCTCGGTGCTACCAAAACACTCTGCATTTTATCAGCGTCCTCACCAAACAGGACTATGTCATCTGCATATTCTAAGTCGATAAGTGGACCTCCTGGAAGAAGACCGATTCCTGAAAATTCAGATGACGAGAACGTTATTCCCAGCGGTAGGCCTACGATGAAACTGAACAGGAATGGAGAAGTTGCAAAATCGCACTTCTGAGGTACACATTTCAATGACAGATACTGCCACAGAACCTTTCGGTCTCCAGAGTCAAATGCTGCTTTCAAGTCAAGAAAGACCACGATTGTCGGACGCCGATAAGTATGCCTGTGTTCTAGAACTTGACGAATGGTGAATATGTGGTCGATGCAGCCACGACCAGGTCTGAAGCCAGCTTGATTCTCTCGTGTGTGCAGTTCACGAATCTTAGTTAAGCGTCCGATGATTATTGAGGCTAGTATTTTAGGTGCTATATTAGTCAAACTAATCCCTCTATGGTTATTACAGGATGATTTTGATCCATTCTTATACATTGGGACAATCAGTGATTGTGACCGGTCAGGTGGGATTACGTCCAACTCTCATATTTTAGCTAAAATATTAGTCAACCTAATCGCTAAAATTGGACCACCATCCTTAAAAACTTCTGGAACTAATCCTTCTGGACCAGCTGCTTTTCTTCGTTTCATATTAACTATAGCTTGCATTGCCCACCACTGCTCACGGTCATTCATTAAACTTTTGGTTAACCTAGATCTGATTTGTTTTCGCTCATTATCGTGTTCAGAGCCTGATGTGATGAGTTTAGGAGGCACCAAATACATATGCGCCACACAAATCTCATTCGATGTGTGAGGGATGTGTTACTGCCCGGGTGCCCAAACTGAAGCAGGTGGTTTCCTTAGGGGGCTACTTCCCGAGCCTTCGACCTGAAGGTCTGATCCACAAGGAAGTGAAGCATCGTAAGGAGATGCAGTCCCATGAAAACCGGTGATCAACGATTGGTTCATACGCCATTTGTTCCCCCAGGATGCTGGAGCCCAAGTGCACTATTGGTTTGGAATCCGGTTAAAGCGCCGGACATTCGCTTATCGTAAACAACAGTAGTGCCACGAGAAGGTAGTGAGTAGGACTTCCCTGGCAGAGGCTATATACGCGTGGCCATGTGAGAGCATTTCGAGAGGGGGAGCGGACTCTCCCTACTCTCGGCCGTACCAGGGCATTTGGGGAGATGAGTTTAGGTGAACTCATCAGTTCAATAGACGTAGAAAAAATTCATGTTTCGTAACCCTTTGGTTTAAATCACTAACAGATGTCACCGCTGTTTCCACAGCTGTTTGTATATCTTTCCAAGCAACATCTGGGTCAGCCTCGTTTTCAGAACTACCTAAGTGTGACCTTATTTGATACTAGAACCTACTTTTGGCTTCCTTGTCACTAACTTACACTCATTAGTCAATGTGGTTTTGCTGCATTAAGAGAGGCGCAAGCACATACGTATTCTGTATTACAGACCCAGCAGTCCTTTGACGGTCTTTGTCTTTTTTGTAGCCAGCATTGTCGAACATTGCCGTAAGTCTCACGTTGTCACTTGTTTCAAACGCTCTGGTGCGACCGAGATCGGGAAGAACCAGCTCTCTCGAAATAGTCGCTCATGTTCACGCGTATACAATCATTGTTAGGGAAGTCCTAGTTACTACCTTCTCGCCGCTGGGGTGTTGCTTACGAAATTGAGGACGGGAAGTGAACGCCCAGAGCTTGAACTGGGTTAGTTTTTACAGAGAATCCACCTAGAGGAGTTGGGAAACCCTAGTTCCAAACCAATCGTGAACATGGGCTCCGGGATCCTGAGCGAACAAACGGGGTATGAACCTATTGTTGGTCACCGGCTACCATGGGATTGCATCTCCTAACGTCGCTCCACTGTCTTGTGGATTATACCTCTAGGTCAAGGGCTCGGAAGTGCCCCGTTGAAAAAACCACCTGCTTCAGTCTGGGCAGTATCCCAGCCCTCACGTAAATCGAATGGTTTGTGGGGCACATATATATTTGGCTCCCCCTTGTACCAATGTCTAAGTGTTCAAATAAGTAAATAGTTTGAAAAACTGGCAAATAAGCATTGTTATAAACTCCTGTTTATTAAATTCCAAAATTTACAGGACTGCTTTGGTTCGGAATATTAACACTGCAGTTTAAAGACGGTGTTATTTTTAGAATTTATTTTTACATTAAACTGAATTTACTAATAAAGTTTTCTTTTACTATCCATTTACTTTTTCAATTGCATGTGCTATACTGAAACTAATTGAATGTATGTTATGAGTGTATCTGGTTTCACATGCACTTAAGGATTGGAATACATTCTCAATAAACAACGCATTACCTGTAATTACTTTTATAGGTCCTCGTAGATTGAGGAACTTAGGACTTACAAAGAAAATTTGTGACGAGCACCTGTCTCCTTGTAAACTGTTATTTTCTGTCAATAAATGTCTAACCATGCATTATTTTTGGAAATGTCATAAACTCCCCAAAATTTCCCAAGGTTTGAAGAAAGTCACAAAAATGTTTCCGGAAAATTTTGGGTGTTCTCCAATGTTCCCACAGAATATTATAACACTGAGGTTTGTCCCCAAACTTTGGGGAAAACCCGAAATTCCCTCAAGATAGTGTGATTGGCCCGAGCTCCCGATTTTGGGGAAAATTTGACCCATTTTAATGAAGCCGCTATAGTGAACTTTGGAGAAATGGCACAAAAATTCCAAAATTTTCCCCAGACCTGGGGAAACTTCTTAATATTTCCCCAAAATCCCCCTTTAACCTTGTTCAAGGTCATTTGACTTTTGAGGATTTTTCCAAACATTGGTGAAGCTCATTTGACTTTAAAAGTTTCACCAAAATACTCCTAAATTTCCCCAAACTTGGGAGCTCGGGGGGTGAATAAGACATACATAATCTTAACAAAGTACGATGAAAGTAAGACGAGGTATATACACGTTAACTGATAAGCCGTATAATTATGTTGTAATTAATTTCAATGAAGTATTTTAATAAAAACGTCATAATCAACTACGAATTTCAGAAAACTGCGGTGAACAGTAAGAAATTTAAAAAATTATAGAAACAGAAACGTATTAGGAACTGACAGACTAAATTTCTCCGAGTGGACTCTTAGTAAGTTATAGAAAACAGCCAGATGCCAACACGTATAACCTACGCCACTTCAAAATTTGCGCCATGAAAGGTCAAACACCGTACCTTTAAACGTGTAATGACCGTCTAAGTGAATCAAATCAGAATGAAGGTAAGTCAGGAGTAAGTGTGCATCTCCATGACCAATTTATATGAGCCTTCGCTTGTAATCAGATGGTTCAAATGATTGTGGACGGAATAGAAGAAGCTTTCGCATAACGGGCTTACATGCCTAATAGCAGTGGATCATCAATACCTCCAGGCAGGAACCTACGTATATTAACGATAAAAGAAGTAAACGATATTGGTAAGTCATAGTAAGATACTATCCTTAGTCCTTAAGAATATATCAAGTTTTTTCTTAAAGCACTCCTGGGAAGACTCTTGGACTAGCTTGGCTGGCAGCGAATTTCAGCATTTAACTAACCTAAAGGAGTAGTTGTATATGCAGTCCATTCTCTTTTGTTGCGTCTCTAGTTTCTGGGTGTTACCTCTTAATTTTTATTGTAGATAGACTTAAGTAGGTGTTTAACAGGATGTTCAGAAGTGTTAAAGATACTGTAAGCCATTAGAAGGTCACCTCTAAGACGCCTGTACTCTAATGGCTAGGGATTTAGTGAGTGAAGACGCCATTCATAAAACTTAAACGGGCCCACGTGTTGATTTCGTGGGTCGCCGTGGGATACGCTCCAGGGTGTCCTTATCGTTTTGGAGTGGCAGATGAAATATTATGTTTCCGTACTCTAAATGGGGACGAATGAATATTTTGAAGAATATGTAGAAATTTATTCCGTCAAACAAGCCAAAAACACGCTTCAGTGTTAACAGTGCAAGGCTTGCTCGAAGAACATTTTTGTCAGAGTTAGCGTTAGATTTCTGATCGTAGGTATCAGAATTCCTAAATATTCTTCAGTATGGAATCCTTCTAGAGAGAATTCGCCTAAGTTGTAGCTGCGGCTTGCAACATGTCTCAGATGGATTACTTTACACTTTGAGGTGTTGAAGGCAAGTCCGTTGTCATTTGCCCAATTTTGAAGTCGAGTCAGATCCTCCTGAAATGCAAACATATTCTCTCCGTTGAGTTCCGCTCTCTCCAAAGTTTCACATCAGCAAAAAGTAATAAGACAGACGACACCTGTTGTGGAAAATCGTTTATATAAATCAAGATAAGAAGAGGTACTAGTACTTAACCCTGGGGGATCCCATCAGGACATTCCATAGCACAAGGGAAATTGAAGTTAACCCTGACCTTAAAATGAAGTGAGCCTATCAATTAAAGGTAATTTAATACCCAATCTTTTGAGCTTATTTATGAGACATATATGGTTGACCCCAACAAAAGTATTTGAGAAGTCAAGGTAAATGACGCCAACCTTACCCTTGCGATCAAGGACGGTTATCCATCTGTTCACCTGACCATTCCCGAAACCGTGCTGTTGAGGTGAAAAGAAGTTTAAGGATACCAACTATTCGTGTGTACCTTTTATAACAGGGACTCGATAATTTTTGAGGATATAGAAAGAAAAGCCACCGGTCGGCAACCTAAAGGTTCGCTGCGTCGACCTCCTTTGAAGACTGGTGGGATGTGAGCCAGCTTCCAAAGTTCCGGTGATGTGCCTCAGTTTAGATCTCCTCAGTATAGCGTAATGAGCCATATCCGAACCAGGAGATGTATCTTTTTAAGTGCTGCAGTTTCCAGTACACGAGGTCAGCGCTCGAATTCACTTCGGAAGCTTATGTGGAGTTGCATATGTAGCCTTCATCAATATAGTTGATGTGGGCCGTTTGAAATATCAGATGGTATTGTTCAGCTAGAAGGTTAGCCGCATCGTTGTCGTTGTTGTTCGGGCCATTAGGACCTTGCAGTTGGGAAACTCCAGTTTTGGCTTTTCGAGGAGACTCTGCATAACAGAATAAGCTTTACGGATAAGGACAAATTTATCAATAAGCTTTTTCTGCTACTGAATTATATCTTCTCTTATTGCCTTTGTGCATATGTTCCTTATATGTTTGTATTGCCTGTACGTGCCTTTGTTACCAGTACGTTTGTATTCCGCCCAGTATTGCCTTTTGCGGCTTAGAAAATGAATAGTGCGGTTCTTAATATCTGCAGGTTGCTTGTAGATTTCTGGGACCATTTGAGGGACAGACTGACATGTAGCACATAAGATCGTGTGCAGTAAGAAATCGCAGTGGGAATCGAAATCATGTTTAGGGTGAACTTCCCGATCCACCTGCTGTAGATTGTCCTGTAGAGCTGACACATTCAATCGTCCTAAAATCCAGCGCCTGTTATTGGTGGGATGTCTTAGCGATGATATGATCGCACTCGCCTGGGCAGCCAGGACTGACAGTTTGTCAATAAGAAATTCTTCGCTTGTAATCATCCAGTCTAAACGTGACGGCGTTTGACTGTTTCTCCAACAAGTTGCCGACTTCACATTTTCGATTAATCCCAGACCCTCAATGAAGTTGAAGAACCGAGCTACGGTAGAGTTTTTAACTCCAGGATACGTATGTTCCATGGAATCGACTCTAGGATGATTGGAGTCCCTAGAATCAGGATATTGGTGAATCCGAGGCCAGTAGAGCGGGATCATCCTTCCAGCATACGATTGTCGTACTCGTTACAAGCAGTGGGCTTCCTTTCTATGAATCCAACTAGCCACCTCGAGATGGTAGGCAATCTTACTGAGCACCATACGGTTTCATCAAGATTGATGACCTCCCGGTTGTGAACTTGATGTACCTCTGGGCAAGATCGTAAGTATAACTCTACTCCACCCCCAATTCCCCATTTTCTTTCATTGCGAAACAAAGACATCCC